TTTTTTTTTGGTACAGGGGACTGAACTTGGGTCCTTGCACTTGTAAGGCAGGTGCTGGAACCACTGAGCTAAATCCCCGGCCCTCAATTGACCTTTTTATCATTAAAAAAGCCTGTCTCTCTCTGTAGCAATAATTGTTGTATTAATATAATCATGCCAGTATTTTGGGTATGTATTCATAAAATTTATCTTTTTTCAACTTTAAAATTTCAACCTCTTCTAACCAGCTGTATTTCAAAAATTATTCTCCTCGATTTGGCCAGACTGATCTGGATGCTGGCTGAAGGAAGACGTATTTAAAGACATTGCACTTTCTGAATAGGCGCCCATTACCGTGATGTTGCACATGTTTTCTTCTGGGGAGGTAGGAGTGCTTTTCCTCTTCTTTTAAAGGAAGCTCTTGCAACTGCAGATACTGTCAAATATGTTTTTGAGGTATCTGAGTAAAAACAATCAAGAGTCCTTTACAAAAAAAGAAACTTTGTGGTAAACTATCCTCCTGACCCTATGTGTTTACTTGGCTCCACAACAACAGAACTACAGGTTTGCCAAGACTTTTGGGGTGCATCAAGGCACATCTCCTCCTAATGTCTTTCTCATAATCTTACTAAGAGGCCAGGTGGCCTCCCAGGCCCACCATGTAGCACACTGCATTCTTGAACAGTCTGCTTACGTATTAGTCCATTTTCATTGCTATAATGAAATTCCTAGCTTTATAGGCTAAACTTGTAAAGACAAGAGGTTTCTTCAGCTCACAGTTCCAGGGGATCAAGGGCCACCTCTGACAATGGCGTCCTGATAGCAAAGCCCCAGGTAGAGCAGGGAGCGTGTGGGTGCGTCCCTTCTGTCTGTTTGCCTTATAAAGCCGCAAGGATTTAGCCAGGGGCTCCCCATGCGGTACTGCCCTTATCTAACCCTGTGCACCCCCCCAAAGCCCTGCCTGTAAACATCACCCTGGGGTTAATCCCCACCCCTGCCGATACCTCTCAATAGGGATTCAATTTGAACACACATGCAGAGCTGCACCCGGACCATGGGCATTGGAAAAAGTACTCTTCTGCGTCCAGCTCTCCCTCCCATGCTGTCTACACAGCATTGCTAGACCTGCTCTGTGGGGCACATGGAGAAAGTGGGATTTTCCTCTGCATGGCAGAGTTGAAAGATGTGGTTCTGCCTCTTCAGCTCAATTCTCCAGTAGCTAGCTCTTGTCATTTCTTCCGTTGCTTTCAGACCCCTCACCTGGCGGGTGCCCCTCTCCTTGGAGGTTGCAGTGAGTGTCACCCAGATTTGGCCCCAACATTCCGGGTGAGGGGTGGCCGGATCAGTGTGGAGCAGGACTGTGGATCCCGTTCTTTTGGCCCTCACCCCTGTCAGTTCACCCTGCTATTCTACTGCCATCATTTCACTAAGCTTTTGTTTGTTTGTTTGTTTGTTTTTTGAGACAGGGTCTCATTGTGTAATTGAGACTGACCTGGAACTCACTATGTAGCCCAGGCTGGTCTCGAACTCATAGTGATCCTCCTGCTTCAGCCTCCCAAGAACTGGGATTACAGGCACATGCCACCACGCCTGGAAATTTTTTTTTTGTCAATTCACTAATTTTATTCACATCACTTCTGTTACTTTAGCCAGAAAACTCACTAAAATATTTGGTAATCACTACTCAGTCTCAACTAAAAATCCTTTAGGGTTTTCTCTCTCAATGTGAGATTCAGGTTAGACTTTGGCTAATAGTACTGTAACTTATCTGTCCTTTTCTCCACAAATGGGCATCAAGTTTTGTATCTACTTATTTGGCAATTTAAATGAGGATGATAATTCTTACATCATTATCCTTACTAGGGTTATTGAGAGAATGAAATAACAAATATGAAAAGATGCCATAGGACTACAAGTTTGAGCCCAGACCCTGTCTCAAAACCATGGGGATATAACTCAGTGTGAAGGTTCTAGGTTCGACCCCTAGTACAGAAAAGAAAAGTGTTCCATAATCCATAAAGAACATTAAATATATGATATCCCCAATTATTTACAGGACTAGGAAATCTTTGTCTTTTAAAATGTTTGACCATTTGAGGACAGTGATTCATAACTACTGGAAATGTGAACACCAATCTTTCTCCTGAGATCCTGAAAAGTTATTAGGGATCACAGTTCCTCCCCTTTCTCTAGTGCCTTCTTTAACTAGGAATTACTTTTATGCTCCTAGCCAACATGCCCCATCCATGCGGAAGACAGTCTCAGCCACTTGCAAGGAGTGTCTCTCGAACATGTGATTCCAAGTGGGAGGCGGTTATGGTTTGATCTAAAATGTTCCTCAAAAATCTCATTTTTGTCAGGTGACTGGATAGTGGGGACAGCATAGCTGACTTGCTGTTAGGAGGTGGGTCCTGGTAAGAGGTGGTCTCAGGGGCATGACCTGGAAGGCTTCCTCTCCTTCCCTGGCTTCTCCCTTCTCTCACTGCTTCCTGGCGCTGTCAGATAAGCACTGTCCTCCAGCCTGGCCCTTCCACCAGGCTGTTTTTCCCCTTGGAGCTACCTGGCCATGCACAGACTGAGATCCCTGAAACTGGGAGCCAAAGTAAACCTCTCCTCCTTAATTTGTGGGTGTCAGCTATTGTATTTCAACAACGATGAAAGCATCTAAGACAGAGGCTATGTTTCTGCCTCTTGGTCAGACTCCAGTAGAGCTCTATAGAATGAACATAGCTGTCCCTCCCTGAGTGGGAGAAAGGCCTCTCCCTCAAAGTGTAGTTTCCTCTAAAGGGGGGAGTGAGGGTTCAGAACAGGTGTTTTCCAGCCTGTCATCCTTCCCACCACACCCTGCTGTTTTCCCAGTGTGCCCTAGAGGTGACTAAGTGACATGAAAGGAATGGAAAACTTATCACAATAGAAGCAACTGCTTAGGGAACACCACCGTGATTCAAGAACTATAGCAGGAAAAGGATGAATTTCTTTTTTTTTGAGTCAGGGTCTAACCATGTAGTTCAGGCTGGCCTCGAATTCATAGTGATCCTCCTGCCTCAGCCAGCTGAGCTCTGGGCTTACAGGTGAACACCACTATGTCTGGCTTACAGCAAGTGAAAAGGGTCTTGGGCCAAGGGCTGTCAGCTAGGGTGGTTCTATCCCACCACCTTAACTGGATGAGGAGGGGCTCGGGGTGGGACCTGTGCCTCAGCACTCACCTGCTGATCCTGAAGCTTGACTCCAACGACTCTGAAGGTGTTGTTGGCAGTGTTGTGGTAGATGTTGATCCGGCTGAATCCCTGCTGTCCAGGCTTGATTGGTACCCATTTCTTACTGGTGTCATCGTAGACCATCACGGAAGCCCGGGCTTGGCAAATACTCTGTTCACTGTAGAGCAAGAAGAAACCCAAAGCATTAGCCTGAGCTAGATGAGAGCTGGCTTTGCTCTTTCTGACAGAGGTCAGTGCCTACTTGACATAAAGAAACATTTTGACTGCTAGAGCTTCCAACTGTCTATAGAAGGGCTGCTTGGCCTTCTTCAGAGACCATAAGGAGTAGAGAGGAAGTCTGGTGCCAAACTTTGGACAGCTTGGAAAACACTCTCAGCTTTGCTTGCAGGGGAAAAGGCACTTGAACAAGAGGAATTATTTTAACTTGCCAACTGTCTACAGTGTTCTAGGCATTGCAGCAAAACACCCATGCTTCCCAATTTCAGTAGCTACGTATAACCCACTTTACAGACAAGGAAAGGGTGGCCCAGAGAATGGAAAAGACTGATACAAGTTCACAGAGGTATTCAGTGATGACATTAGTGATTTCCAATCAGTTCTGTCTCACTCCAGAGCACAGCATTTGCTGAGCAAAAGTAACCTCATCTGCTCAGATGATGACAGAAAACCAGGGAAGAAGCTGAAGGCCCCCGAGAGGTGAGATATCATCACTAAAGTGTGTGCTGGGGTGCAGGCTCACAGCCTGTGGTGTGCAGGGTTATCAGTCATCTAAAGATAATGACAGACTGGAAACAAAGTCCCAACCTAACAGTCCAGGAGCAATGGTAGGGGAGCAAAGTGTGTACAAGGAACAATCATAACGATGAAGCTGGGCAGTCAAGATAAAGCCAAATTATGTTTACTTTTCCAGCTTTGAGAAGGCAGGGGACTGAAATAGTTGGAAAAGATCCCTACCCCAGCCCTGTGGGGCTGGGTGACAGAAATAGTGGTTTTTCTGACTCACCTCAGCGGCTCGGAACCCTGAACCTGGCAGTGTCGTGGGTCCCTGAGGATTCTAGAGGCACCTGTTCAGGACCTCTGTAGCTCAGACTGTGGGCGCTGCAGTGTAGATTGTCACAAACCAACAGTACGACCACGGAGAGCACCACACAGGCCTTTCCCTCCTTTTGCTTCATATGAACTAGTACGCATACTTCATGGCTGCTGGGTGCCAGTGCCCCAGCGCCTGGACTCGAACCTGTTCTGAATGCCTAGCTGCCTAGTGTCAGCCTTGCCGTGGACCCCAGCTCCGGGCCTGGGGCTGAGGAGTCTAAGGGAGATGGCACTGCCACCAAGCCATGCCGAGGGCTCGGGCGAGTCTTGCTGCTGTGCTGGGAATGAACTGCCGGGGCTCTGATCTGCAGCTGTGCTGCGTCTTTCTGCTGCACATTCACCAACCCTCCCCATAAATGCTCAAGGGACAGCACTACTGTGACCCACAGCTTCTGTGACCCACAGCCTGGAATGTTGTATTGTTTTATTTTAAAATTTGTATTATACACATCTGGAGCTCGTAACTGTTACAGTGGAGCCGGCACATGTATATAACACACCTTCATTCCTTTTCCCTCCCCTCCGTCTCAAGTCCCCTTCTTACTTGACAAAGGTCTCTTTCCCCACCTCCTATTATCTATCTTTTATTTGCTCTTTATTTATAGTTTGGGGTTTTCATACATGCTCAAGAGGAGCTGCTCCTTCCCCCAGCTCTCTCTGGTCAAGAAATCTAATAGAAATCGGGAGAAGCTGCACACAGCCAGTCAGACTTGGGTTCAAATCATCCCAACACAAACTAATCATAAATCGAGTTATGGGCTAAGCCTTGACACTGCTGTTGACACTGAGTTGCTCTCGGTGATGATATGCTCCAGGTACTTCTCCAGGGCTGGAGAGAGCCTGAGCTACGCGATGGTACCAGTCAGCCAGACAATTTTATGAAGTCATAGGTATCTGAGTTGGAATCCTAGCTCCACCACCTGCCAGCGTGTGACCACGAAGCCCTCCTGATGACCTGGGCCTGAGGGTGTATGCAAAAATGTACCATGTGATAGGGCATGCCATGGCAGGGTACCCTCCAGTCTCCTCAGGAGAACCTGTCCTGGGGGTGCGGCTGACCACTGGTACTTCATGTGCACTGAGGGTGTGCATTTCCAGGGATGCTCCCAGCTAGTGACCAGACATGGCAGGGGGACCGCACTGGCCCATCATTGCCAGCCAGGGGCCCCCTTCCACCTGACGGGAAGCCTGCCTGTCAACCTAGCTACTTTCTCAGGGTTGTGCTGTGGTCTGAGAAGCTCCTGCCTGTCTCCCTGCTCCCTCTCCTTGGGCAGACTTCATGCCTGTGTCATGGCCTGAGGTGCTCCTGGCCTCCTCCACCAAGTCCTCCCCACGAAGTCTTTTTCATGCAACTTTTCTGCATGGTCTCAGCACTTGCTTTTTGGGAGACCCCAAATGACACACCGCTGTAGTGTAGAAGGAAGGAGCATGGCTGTCCCGTTCTCTGCTCTGCTCTGGGGCCTGGCACACAGCAGGTATCCAGTGAATGCTCACTAGCAGGTCCCAGAGCTGAAAAGAAGCCTGGATGATCTAATCCTCTCACGTTCTCCATAAAGCCGCTTTGATTACAGCACCGCAACTTTGAATGACAAGGAAAAGAATCTACTACTCTCCTAAACGGCCCACTCGTGGTCAGCTGTCCCGCGTCTACTCACTGCTGTGCAGAGGTACAGAGTGGGGTGGGTAGCTGGTGACAATCCACTGGACGACTGAAACAGGCATCCTGGTGCTTCTGTAAATCATTCACATGGCACAGCCACCCGTCCCTTGGTCATGCTAGGAACCCTCTCTATGGAGTCCCGGATTGGTCACTTCTAGTGCTGGGTCCTAAAGTAGACAGGATATTTTAGCCTTAGCTAGCAAACACAGATGCCAGCCAGTCAAGCTACATTCAGACAAGATCAGAGGAGTAGGCCAGTCCCGGCCCACAGGGGTTCATAGTCATTCAGGAAGTCAGACAAATAATTACAAAACTTGGCCAGCAAGGAGCAGTTGGGGGAGTTGGGAGACATTCTGAAGAAAATGCTGTGTGTGTGTAGAGATGAAGACGTTCAACCCCTAGACGAATTCAGGAAGCGGATGTGGGATTTCAGAGGCAGGAGACAGCAGCCTGGGCAGAGGCAGAGGCAGGAACCACGAGGTACGCAAGAGCTGCCGTCCCTCGGTGGGGGAAGCATACGTGCCTCTCGGTGCTGTTAGGAGTGGAGATGTACAATAAAATACTTTGTGCTGGGCTGCCACCTGGCAGGAGCTTAAACACCAGCAACTAATTACTTAGTGCAGTAATAGCCACAGGTTCCTTTTTTTGCTGTTGTTTTTAACACTTTAGGTTCAAATTAAATTTGTGGTTAACCAAAACCCCTAGAGTTTTTTCCCCCTCCTGTTTGAATAGCGTGTTTGCCTCTGATTATTTTACTGCTATGAACAAAATACAAATGCAAGAAAATGCACATTTACATACTTATGATCTGTTGTGCTACTTGGGCTTATTAACCTTAGACTCTTTGTTTGTTTTGATAAGATCTATATTGCTGTCGCCTTCTCAAAAATTTCACCTGAACAAATACTCAAACCCTGAACTACACACACCCAAGAGGCATCAAAAGCTCATGCTGAGTCAGTTATCCTGTGAGATTTGATAATTTCTCCTTAAAAATATCATGTGCTGCAGAAATGATTGAATAAGCTACTTTAAAAATCACATTCATAAAAAATTCTCTTTGCTGAATAAAAAAGACTGTTTCCACTCCCTTCCCAGCAGTCCCTGTAAAGTTTAGGAAGGTGTGGACAGGCCTCTGGGCGCCCTACCCTAGGCTCTAATGAAGATGGTGAAGCTGGAAAGGAAAGGTAAGGTTGAGTTTGTGAGGTCTTGGTCTCCTACAGTTTTCCTGTTGTTTTAATTTTATTTCCTTAAAAATGTATTATTGCTTCCTGCTAATTTAAAAATGTATTTGGTTTCAATATTTTCATACATGCAGACAACATTTGATAACATCCATCCCATTTCTCTCTCTATATATATTTATATATTCAATTATTATAATTGATAGTCAATTATATATTTAATTATGTACTATATATATTGGACAAGAATAGAATCAAATTCAACATACATCTCTATCTAGCTATCTATCTATCTAGCTATGATTCCACGTGTTAGCGAAAACAAGCCATACTTGACTTTTTGAGTGTTTGGTTTTGCTTCACACGATGACCTCCACTTACATGCATTTCCCCACAAATGAAGTGACTGTGTTCTGCTTTATGTTACATAATCCAGCTCATTTTCTTTACCTGCCTGTCCACTGATGGGCTCCTAGGCCGGTTCCATATCTTGGCTCTCGGGAATTGTGCCACCCCCACAGGGACATGCAGGTAACCCTATCGTGTGCCGACGAATCCCTCTGGGTATACACCAAAGGGTGGTATAACTGGGTCATGCAGTGGTTCTACTTTTAGTTTTGTGAGAAATCTCCATATTGATTCCCTAGTGGCTGTACTAGTTTACATTCCCCCCAGCAGAGCAGAAGAGTTCCTTTTTCCTGCAGTCTCACCAACATTTATTCTTTTTTGTATTCTTGATAGCATAGGCTTTTTATTCAATCAAAACGACCAGATCATGAGTGTATCTGTGCTGGGGAGAGGAGATCAATCACACGCATGGCTTGGTTGGTGCAGTTTGCTGCTGAGTACCAGGCTGATGGACTTTTTCCCCTAGGAGCCCCTGGGCTCCTCTGACTGGAGCTTCTCTCTGGAGAGAAAGCTCTTGTAGAATAAGCTGCCAATTCCAGTGTTATCTTTGGCTTTTGTACAGGTATTTGTGCCCCTGCAAAAATTCTGGACTCTGCTTTCTCCCCCTGTGGCATTGAGAAGGCTTCAGACTATACCTCCATCAGCTTGGACAAGACGCATGGCACTCTGGACTCTGGCTTCCTCATCTGTACTTGAGGACCTCCTGTGACCTGAGAAGTCCTCAGGCCATTTCGCTCTGCAAGGGCAGAAGGGGGAAGGCACAGTCTCTGTCCTACAGCTGGTCTGGCGCCTAGCTTTGTTAGACCACAGGTC